ACTCCAGGCTGTGGGCCTCGTAAAGAAAGGCTACAGAGCTCAACGCAGAGAACTCGAAGGAACCTGAGGACACTCCAACTCGTGCCTCAGGGCACTGTGGCGGGTTCCGTATCAGGGATGTAGCCAGCGCTACGGCGAAATGAGGGACGAAGCCAGCGCTCAGCCGACTGTGCCCGTCGTCGATTTCCCCGTCGTCGTCGTCGTCGCCGTCTTTGTCGCTGTGCTCGTCGTCGACTTTCTCATCCTGCTCGTTGCCGTGGTCGTCCACGTCCCCTTCATCTTCGTCGCCGTCGATGTGTTCGCTCTTCGTCAACATCCTCGTTATCTTCGTCGTCTTTCTTGTCATTGTCCTCCGTGTCCCTCGTCTGGCAGGTGTGGAGATGAGGCAAGATGTCGGTACGAAGCACGGTCTTACACCCCAAACAACATAAAATAAAAAGGGCAGACGAGCTCGATGGAACTCCGCCCTGTACGATTCTACCGGCACAGGTGGCCAAAAGCTGAGCGTGCAAGTGTGAGCGACTGGAAGATCGCCGAAATTTATTTGAGCAACGCCAACTGCACGCAGAAGGCGACGAGGATCGCGGAGACAAGGGCGTAATGTAAAACACGCCACGAAGTCCTGTCCCGTTCGACCGGCGCCGAACTGCCACTGTCCGAGAGTAACGCCGACTGCACGCAGACGGCGTCGAGGAGCGAGGAGAAGAGGACGTAGAAGTGGAAGAACATGCCTCCCCGGAAGCCATGCCCCGTTCAACCTGGCAGAATACTCCAACCAACGGACGCCGAACGGTCAATGTCCGAGAGAAGCGCCGGATGGCGCCCTAGATGAAGAACGCGAAATTGAGGAAGATCACGCCTTGTCTCAAGTCTTGCCCAAGCCGGCCGGGGAAGGTGAATCCCGCCGACGCCGGCCGGCCTTCCCAGGGCACCTCGTGAAAGGCGGTGTGTGCGCCCCGCCGGCGGAGCCAGGACGGTCCCTGGAGAAAGCCACGCCGCCCTGGACATCCGTCGGGCCAGGAAGAAGAGAGGTAGAGTCCAGCCCAGGGCCGGCTGCTGTCCGTGCGGTCATTGCCGCTGCCATCTAGAAATGGCCCGAGTCCGGCAGGCATATTTTGTGAAAACCTGCAGGTACGTGTTGTTCGTGTAGAAATACTGTCGAATTCATGCGGTGCTCCCGGCTGGGAGCAGGAAACATTTTGTCAAGACAACCTCTAGCGCTTCAATGCCGAAGCAACGAAGCCCAACCACACGGCGAGGACGCGTTGTCATGGTGGTCCGTGTCCATCGTCTCGAAGGTCTTTTTGTTCTTTCCTTGTTTTTCCCTCCACTTGTCCCGCCTCAGTGTGGTCCACCTGTCATCCTCCCTTTTCTTTCAATGTTTTTTTTCCTTTTCCTTCTTTCCTCTCCGTGATCGTTTCGATGCGCTTCTGTCTCATGCCACGAAGCGTGTGAGGGGTGTGCCAAAATGGGGCGACGCCGCCATGCGAACGGCGCCACTGGGACCTTAGGTGAAGCTCCCTATGGGGCCACGAATCGTGTGCCAAAATGGGGCGGCGGCGCCATGCGAACTGCGCCACTGGGACCTTAGATGGAGCTCCCTATGGGGTCACGAAGCGTGTGAGGTGTGTGCCGAAGCTGATGGTGATGATGAAGACGATGGTGATGGTGTTGAAGATAATGATAAGTACGATGACGATGACGATGGCGATGATGGTGCTGATGCTGCTGGTGATGCTGATGATTCTGATGACGATGATGATGATGATGATGATGATGATGATGATGATGATGATGATGATGATGATGATGATGATGATGATGCTGATGCTGCTGCTGCTGATGATGATAATGGTGACGGGAGGAGGGAGGAGGGGGAGGAGGGCGGAGGGGGAGGAGGAGGAGTTGAGAGGAAAGCGGGGACCGTCTCTTCAAAACGATGACTCAACGCCACATGATGGTGAGGAAAAACGGGACGAGGTGCTCACGCGCACGTTGTCGCGCGCGCATGCCGAAATCCTTGAACAACTATTGGTCGCGCTGTTGCGAATTCCCACGGAAAGCGTGTCCTTTACGATTTACATTATTTTGGCAGAACGGGCTTTTCGCGCCGCATGTCGACATTATTCGAACGCTCTTGCGCGCGCATTGGGGGGCACGATCCGTGTCAAATAATGCCATGCTGGCCACTCTCGCGCGTCGGCCGCGCGCGTATGTCGAACTCCTTCCAAAACCTTCATCACCGACGCGAGGACGACGTCATCGTGGTCGGCGTGATCAACATCGGCGCCGACACTGGCCGTGCCGTCGCCGTTGTCATCATCGTCACCAGCGTAGTTACTATCATCGTCGTGTCTACCGTTGCCGACGTCGCCATGATTCCGCGCCCGCCTAGGTGGCCGACTTGCACGGGAATGCCTGCTGGGAGGTGTCCATCGGTCAGCGCCACCGCGGCAGCGTCGGTGGTTCCAAACTAGCTGGCCGCTGCGCGCGCGACCATGCGCGGGCTAGCGCGGCGGCAAACATGCACCAGCCAACACCAAGCAGTCACCGCAATCGCAGCCGCATGCGTTTTGTAAAACAAGTTGCGGGTGCGTGGGTGGGATGTTTTCACGAGCAGTGGAGCTGATAATTGCGAGCTCCACAACTGAATTGCACCACGTAGATTGCACGAAACAAGGATTCGTGCCTGCTGCGCGGCTTTAGGCCGCTCAGGACATAGACTGCAACACATACGTGCTTACACACATATCTGTATATATATATATACCTATATATATATATATATAAACACTTATACATATACATATGCTGCACAATGCATTGAACCACATATACTGCACAACCACAACTACTGCACTACATTTAACTCTTGCCCAACCGATGGTGCTCCACAAGTTGCGCAAAACCTATATGATACAGTTTATATGGCACAACATAGCTTGCATCACATACAGCGCGCCACGCACTGCACCATGTATATTGGTCTACATAAATTGCACGACATAGGTGAGTACGTTGGCTCCTACCACATATATTGCACGACGTAGCGTACACCAAGTAGGTCCGACACAGACCTGATCACGCTAGGTCTTACCACATCCACTGCGTCAAGCAGCTTGTACCGCATAGCACAGCACACATCATATAGTTTTGTGCGTTCAGTCCTACCACATTGACTGCGCCACATAGTTTGCGCCAGTTTAAGTATCCGTGTTAGAAGTGTATAAGGGTATTCCACCACCCCTGAATTGGCGGTACCCCTCTTCGTATTGCAATTTACATATGAGTTTGCTCCATCGTCCATCCATATATTAGTCCATACCATCCGAGGAAGGCCGGTACAGGTTCTCACCCTCATTTCCTGCAAGAAACAGTATGCGCGCAAATTCGTTTATCAAACACCATAGGACGAAGTGTACACGCGCGCGTTTTCGCGCGCGCATGCGGAAATCCTTCACCAACCAGGGTTTCGTACGGATGTCAAAATCGAATGTCCCGACAATGGATAACAACAAATGGTTTCGCAACACGAATTTTCAAAACAAATTGCGTTCGGGTTCTTTCGAATTCTTAAGACAACCATTGTATTTACCAACGCCTTCATAGCTTACTACCTGGCGGGCCTCGCGCGCGCGCATGTCAGAACCGCTCGAACGCTTTCGCGTGCGTGGTGTCGCAAGAATATGTTGCCAACAACGGGACGAATTGCACATGCGCTCGTCGTCGCGCGCGCCTGCGGAAATCCTTCAAGAAACCAAATGTGTCGTACGGATTTCACCATCTATTGTCCCTGAAGCATATTTGCTATGATGAAACATAGTACAGTGTAAATCTTATGATATGATACACGGATGTAGTATACTAGAATATGAAATAATAGGTCATAATGTATCATAACACAACATAATGTAATGTAGTGTTATTGCGTTACGCTTGTAAAACATTGTGATGTAGTATTATGTAGCATCAGATGAGACATCAGAGTACAAGATAACATGATCTCATACACTACCGTACAATAGCAGCTAATGGGCTATACTATGTTATGATATAATGTTATGTCATATGGTATAGCATAGTAAGGTATACGATTGTATATGATAAGCTAATGCATGATGATGTAATATAACTCGATGTTTTTATACATCATACTATAGCGGGTTAGCGCGGCCGCAGGGATGCACCAGCCAACTCCACGCATTCATCACAATCGCCGCCGCATGGTTTTGCAAACCAAGTTGCAGGTGGGTGGGTGGGATGTTTGCGTGAGCAGTGGAGTGGACAACTCACTCCGAACAGAAATCAACTGCACCACTATAGGTTGCATCACGTAGTTTGCGCCACACACACAAATTGTACCACATAGTTTGCTCCACATAGATGGCACCACATAGAGTGCTAAAAACACGGTTTGGGATCCACGCTGGCTATCATTTTGGAGCAGGACGTGTTCGGATGTTTGGAAACATATTTCTGTGACCCAATGGAAGATCAGCAGGTAGAGCGACGGGGGCCACCAAAAATGTTAGAAACAATTTGTAGAGGCCAGGCGGAGGCAGAAAAGGAGCAGGGAGGACGACGGAGGAGCAGAGCAAAGATCCACAGTGGCTTCGAGCACGCGGCACCGCTTCCCGCACTGCGAGCCACTATCTAGGGGAGTCGGCGGATTCAGGTGTTGCACTCCACAGGTTGGTTATGGAATCACAATCAAAAAGTTCCGTTCGTTTGTAATTCCAAAGCACGCGCGAAGCACGCTTGGTGATGGCTCCTTGTAAAACGTCCACACGCTATCACCCTTCCTCCCCCAGCCTCCGCCCTCCCGCGCGCGGGGAGGCGGCTCGCGGGAGGGGCACCGGCGCCTGCAGTGCCCGACCTCCTGGGGGTTCTGAGTGTGTACCGCCAGCGCATCGACGATGTGCCGCGGTCGACGCATTAGCGATGCCGCGCGGCCGGGGAAGACCTTTCGGCCTGGGTGGCCCGTTGCGGTGGCCCCGGAGGTGTGGCCCCAAATGAACTTTGTGAATCCGGACGAGCTCGTGCTGGGCCACATCATCCTGAACGACTCGAAGGCGAAGACGCGCAGGAAGGAGGTCGCCAACGGTGTCGTGCGCGCCAATGCGTGTCAGAAGATATGGTGGGACCCCGCAGACGTGCGCGTTGCCATCATCATCTGCGGTGGCCTGTGCCCGGGGCTCAACTCCATAATCCGAGAGGTGACGGAGTGCTTGTGGTTCCAGTACGGCGTCAGGAACATAGTCGGCGTGCACTCGGGCTTCACTGGGCTCAGTGACCCCGAGGGGCACCCTCCAGCGGTTCACCTTAGCCCGAAGGTGACTCGCGAGATCCACATGAAGGGCGGCAGCATCCTGCAGGCGGGCTGTGGTCGTTCAGCTGCCCGAAGGGCCGCATTGGGAACAGCTCGGGCGGGGCTAGGACGAGGATCCATCCATTCCAGAGGGTTCTGGAACGCTCTGGCTCCGGAACGCTCTGAGAAGGCCGCGCGGCGCCCGAGACATCCTCCAGAGCCTCCTGATCTCAGAGACTCGATTTATCCTCACCAGGTGTTATCCTCGTCCTAGCTTCGTCTTACGAGAAACAACCAAACAGAGGCTCCCCAGCCATTGGCCATTGCCAGGTTTGGCTGCGCTGCGGCCCTGCCTGGGCGGGGTCCGTGTGGCCGTTCCCTTGGGCCTCCCCTCGCCCTCCGGGCGGCCAAGCCACCACGGTGCGTCGACACGCTAACGGCGATGCAGGTGACGGCGATGTAGGTTCCGGTACAGTCAAGGCGCTGAAGGAAGGACCGCTCGGGGCCCAGGGAGGGGCTCGGGTTTTCGGGCCGTTCCTTAGACCTATTTCGTGGAACCTGTCTGTGGCCTAGGCCCGCTGTGGCCAGAAAAGCACCTTTGTTCCTCATTATGCGACCCTTCTGGTAGCACGATGATTATATTGTAGTTGGGGGTGGCCCGTGGCCAACCCAATTTCAGGAAAGCGTTGTTCGCGTTTTTTTACAACTGATTGATAAGGCCTTACGGCCGTTGCCGCCGACCCTGAACGATAACGCCGACGACGAACCATGATATGTAATATCTGACGCACTTCGTCAAAGGAACTGCATTGGCACTTGGACTCCGACTGGGGGGTTGGAGAGTGGTTGGCGGAGGGTAGGTGTTTCGCCGGGTGTCCTGCAAAGGATCTGGTGGATGTTCCGATGGGCGTTTGCATTGGGATGTTGGGGCATCGTACAGATGACTCGAAGGAGGGTGTAGCACGGCAGGGTGGAAGGGAGGATGGAGCAATGTGAGGAGGATGGGGATAGGGGAGGAAGGAGGGAGACAACCCGGCTCGGGAGACAGGGCCGACGACGGAATCGACAGCGACGGGGGCCTTCCCTGATATGGAATGGCGACGCTGATTCATTCCTTTGCCGGGGATCGCCCCAGGGAGGCTGTCGCATCTGCCCCCCTCCCTGGGGACCCGGGGACCTCTCCCGGGATCCCCGCTTTTCCCAGCGGGGAAGTGATCAAGGGAAGGGGCTTCCCTGTGATAGAACGATTGAATTGCAACGTTGATCAATTCCACTGCCTGGGATCGCCCCAGGGAGGCCGTCGGATATGCCCCCCCTCCCCTTGGGACCCCCGGACCTCTCCGAGGGGCCCCACCGTCACCAGCGGGGGAGTGATCAAGTGAAGGGGCTTCCCTGCGATCGGATTTCGACGTTGATCAATTCAACTGCGTGGATCGCCCCAGGGAGGCCGTCGCATTCGAACCCCCCCACCCCCGCGGGGCCCACCCCCTCCGGCGGAGGAGGGATCAAAGGGAAGGGCCCTTCGATTCAATTACGACGCTGAGTTGATCAATTCCATTGTCCAGAATCTCCCCAGGGAGGCCGTCGTATCTGACGACCCCCCCACCCCAGGCGGGGGAGGGATCAAAGAGAAGGATTTTCCCTGCGATTGAATGACGACGCTGATGAATTCCAGTGTCCTGAATCGCCCTGGGGAGGCCTTGGTATCTGAGCCCCCCTGGGACCCACTTCGGGATACTTCTCCCCCGGCGGGCGAGGGATCAAAGGGAAGGGGCTTCCCTTCGATTCAACGACGACGCTGATCAATTCCACTACGAGGGGCTACTCCCCGAGACCGCCTGGTCTTTGGAGAGCCAGGAGGGCACTTGAAATTGTCTTGGGGCTCCCCTTCGAGTCAATTACGACGTGGCTCATTTCCGCTGTGTGTGGCTGGCGCGCTGAGTCTGTGCGCGCGAGCGGAGGCGAGGCTAGTGAAAACGGTGAGGGAGGCCGTCGTAGCTTCGCTGGAGGAGGAGAGGCTTGTGAACAAGCCCAGGGAGGCTTTCCTGTCGATTCAATTGCGACATTATTCAATGTCGCTGTGGCTGTGGCTGGCGCGCTTGAGGAGGAGAGCTTGGAGAAGGAGTGGGAGACAGCGATCACGACGAACGAATGACGGAGATAACGACTTCAACGGAGAAGCCCTTCACACACGCCGACAGGGTCGGCGGATTCTGCGCGAGTTCGGCGTCGCAAGAACGATATTTCCAGCATAGCCGTTAACCAGCAACGCCGTTAGCGTGGCCTTGGATGGCGCAGGTGGGGTGCGGGGGGCGGGAGTTGGACGTCGAGGGGACGTGCGACAATCTCAAAAAGATGGGAGTCAACATGTTGTTCATCGTCGGCGGCGACGGCGCCCACATGGCAGGCGACCTGGTCTACCAGGAGGCCAGGAGGCGGAACATGGGGCTCAGCATCGTCGGTGTGCCCAAGTCCATCGACAACGATTTGCTCTTATTTGAGAAAACGTTCGGCTTCGACACTGCGGTGGGCGCTGCATGCGGCGTCATCAGCAATGGTTGGGTAGAGGCGGTAAGCTGCGATAAAGGCGTCGGCGTAGTCAAGCTTATGGGCCGAGACTCGGGCTTCCTTTGCATGGATGCCGCCCTGTCCTCGAACATAGTGGACCTGTGCCTCATTCCAGAGGTCTCTTTCAAGATGAAGGATGTGATGGACCATGTCGAGTCTACGCTCGATCGCAAGAACTTCATGGTGATCGCTGTGGCGGAAGGCGCCGGTAGGGAGCACGTCGTGACAGGGGACGTTGATGCAGAGGGTCAGCCCGTCTACGGCGACATCGGCGAACACCTCAGGGATGCTATCAACAGCCATCTTAAGCCGATGGGTGGAAGAAGTTTCTATCCTCGAGGCGTGCGCCCTTCCGCCGTCCTCAGACAGATCGGATTCACGAAGATGCATGTGGACGCTTCAGGAGGACAAGGAGGATGAGGAGGATGAGGGTTCAGGTGGACAGATCAGGGTGTGGATGTCTGGACGAGGAGGACGATAAGCACGAGGAGGGCGAGGAGGATGAGGGTTCCGGAGGACGTGCATGTCTGTGGACGATTCAGGTGGACGTTCCATGAGGGTGTGAGAAGGAGGACGGGGAGGATGGAAGGACACGGATTTGCCAAACATATTGCACGCATTGGCACCCTTCTTTCCCCCTCCACCTCCCCCCCTCTTCCTCCTCCCCCCCATGGGGATGGTGGACATAGATCCATCCTTGATAATCAGGTCTGGGCGCATCGACCCGAACGACCACGTGTACTGCTCGCGCCTGGCCCGCGACGCCGTGCACACCGCCATGAGAGGCTACACTGGCGTAACGGTGGGGACCGTGCCTCCCACGATCTACCAATATGTCGATTTTTATCTTCCATGTATCGGCCCGCACAGTCGATCTCTTTATCGGTCGACCGCACTCTATCTATATATATATATATACAGATATAGTTATATATATATATATATATATAGATGTGTATATCTATGTGTGTATAGCTCTATATATATATGTGTATGTGTGCGTACAGGTGGTTGTAGACCTAGTTAGTTATGTTTGTTTGTATGTATGTATGTATGAACGCATGCATGTGATGTATGCATGTACGGATGTTTGTGCATATGTGTGTGTGCACGTATGCATGTATGTATGGATGGATGTATGCATGTGTGTATGCATGCCTGTATACACGTATGCATGTATGTACGTATGTATGCATACATGCGCGTATGTATGTATGCGTGTGTATGTATGTGTGTATGCATGTATGTATGCATGCATGGTATGTATATATGTATGTGTGAGTGTAAATCTGTATGTATGTATGCATTTGTGCATGTCGGTATGTGCATGTGTGTATGTTCGTATGTATGCCTGTATGGTTGTGTGTATGTATGTATGTTTGTATGCATGTGTATCCTGCATGCATGTATGTATGCATGTACGCATGTAGATAACTGGGTATGGTTATCTGCATGCATGAATGTATGTATATGTCTGCATGCTTGTATGTATGCATGCATGTATGTATGTATGTATGTAGGTATGTAGGTATGTAGGTGTGTATGGATGTGTGCATGTATGTTTGTATGTGTATATGTGTATGCATGTATGTATGCCTGTCTGCCTGTATGTATGTTGTTCGGTTTTCCTGGGACAATCCCGTAGTTTAGTGCGGCTACGTAAACCAGCTGATGTTTCGGGTTGAGTGCCGATTGTTCCGAGTTTCAGTGAGGGCGAGTTTAGACGAGATCAGACTGAATCGTGCTCCGCCCGTAGTCCATCGTTGCTCAAAAGAGTTGAAGGTCGTAGCGGAGATGGACTAGCTCCAGCTCCCAGTCCCGCGCCCAACAGATCTTGCCCGGGCGCGCGCAATATCCCGCCAGGCGGCGGGCCAGAGAAACCACGACGTTCGCCGAGAGTTTTGAGCTCGTCGGCGAGGAGGGCGCCGCGTGGGAGGCGCTAGCCAAGAAGCTGATACGCTTCAAGAGGCTGAAGGGGTACTGGCACGAACTGGGACAGTATCTCAACTACGAGAAGCACAAGCGGCGCGGGGAGAAGCTCGCGATCATATATGGCGCTGCATCAACGACATGCTGAACGCGGTTCGGCAAGCTCAGGTGGCGATAGGAGAGTTGCAGCGACAGAACGCAGAGCTACGTCAGCAAACACAACAGAATCAACAGGCAGGTGGGCCTGAAATCCTCAGGAGGCTCGGCGAAGTGGTCGAGCGGCTGAACGTGCCCTAGCAGGGCCCACAACGAGTGCCGCAGTTGATCCAGGCGACGGACACCGGGAAGCCGCCGACGTTCAAGAATGAGGAGGCTCGCTTCAGCGAGTGGTTGTCAGCGTCTTCGGGGTAAGCTTCAAAGCAGTGGTCGAGTGGGAGGTCGATCAGGCGAACGACTCGGTTGCGCTCGCGACGGCGGCCGAAGTGGCGCAGTTCATCGATATGGCGATCGACGGTGAGGAGGTCGAGTCGGTGGACGAGAAGCTCTCCCAGCTCTACGCGCTGCTCATCTTGCTCACGGAGGGGGGGCCCTTCGATCTGGTGGCAAGCGCGGGCCAGGGCAACGGCGCAGAGGCTCTACGACTTCTGGGTCGTCGGCGGGGTCCGACGAGCGGCGGGCGCCGCAGAGTGCTTGAGCATGTTCAGCGGTCGATTTTGGATGGACAGCTACTGGGAATCAAAGCCGACCCCAAGTGCGCGACGCTTGAGCGAGGTGCGCCACGCGTGCCAGGGGCTCCACGCGCGCCAGGCACCCCTGGGGCCCGAGCGTGCCTTTCGAACATGACTCAAGACTTTGGCCCCGAAGTATACTTTGTATGGTTTTTTGGTCGAGATGGTAGGGGGCGCATCATTTTGGCTGCGCATGCTCCGAATGTGGAGGCAGAGTGCGTTTGTTTTTGGCAGGGATGGTGGGGGCGTGGCCCTCATGGGGTTGGCATGGTTCCACGTGGCCGCCGGCCAGGTGGGGGAGGGGGTGTATAGTAACAGGGAATAGTGGCGACGCTTGAGCGAGGTGCGCCACGCGTGCCATGGGCTCCACGCGCGCCAGGCACCCCTGGGGCCCGAGCGTGCCAGGCACGCCTGGTGCGCCAAATGCGCCACGTGCTCTGCGTGCGCCAGGTGTGTCGCATACTCCAGCCGCGCCAGGTGCGCCACCTTCGGGGCACGTGCAAAATGCGTCAAATGCGCCTGTGCACGTGACAGCACACATCAGGAAACATGTCGGCCCCCGCCATCCTTGTCGAAAACCAATGCCCATCATATCATTGTGTTTGGTGGGTCTGCGCACAGCAGGCCTCGCGCCACCACCCCCGCCGTCCCTGTCAAAAACCATTTGGCAGTGATCGCGGGGTGGCCGCGCATGATCCAGACCTTGCCGCGATGTGCATTTTGTATTGTTTTTGGTCAGGGATGGTAGCCCTGCGCACAGCAGGCAATATGCTGACACCCCCGCCGTCCTCGCGGGCCTCACGAACATGACTCAAGACTTTGCCCCAAGTGTATTGTGCATGGTTTTGTGACTGGGATGGTGGGTGGGGGCCGCATCGGGTTCGCCGCGCACGCTCCGAATGTGGAGGTCAAGTGCGTTTTTATGGTTTTGTTGACACGGGGGGTGAGCATGGTTCCTGGTTGGCCGCCGGTTGCTTGGGGGAGGGAATTCATAGGGAACAGTGATAACCCCCTCCCGAAGGGGAAGAAGGGGGTTGAAAGAGGAGCCTCCCTGGACCACCTGCGCCGCCCGGAGGGCGCGTGGGACTTCCTGAGCCTGACGGCTCCCAGGGCCGAGGGCTTGAAGCGTCCGTTCGGATCCTCCGCCGGGGCCCTGTCTTTCTTGGAGCCGTTCTGGGGGTCCCTCGGCTCGTCTTGGGCGCCGCTCGGATCGTTGTGGGGCCCTCATGGGCCGTCTCGGGGCCCTCTTGGAGGCCTTTTTGGGGCGATCTTGGGCACCTCTTCGGCCGTCCTGGAGCGTCGGGCAGCCGAAAAGGCGAGACCGCCAACATCTTTCAAACACATATGGGACATCAATGATGGTTGCCACTTGGGTACTCGCGGGAGGCCTCTTGGAGGTCTGCCTCTTAGGGCGTTTTTGGGGCATCGTGGGCAGTTTTGAGGCCATCTTGGAGCACCTTGGGCGAATTTTGATGCCATCTTGGCCGTCTTGGAGGCCATCCAGGGGCCGTCTCGGATCGTCTTAGGGGCCTCGTTGGGGGCGTCTAGGATTCGTGACGTTCCCAACGGTTTCCAGGTAGGTACATGTCAAAGTAGGACTCGGAGCAGGACAGGAGAATGAGGAAAAGGATGACAAGTAGTTGCAATTGCCTTACATTGTTGTGGGTTCCCTATATGATTCCGTTATGTGGAAGATTCACCATTCAAGTCTTGTTGTGGCAGGTTCGTATATCGAGCTCCTTCTGTGGGGTTCTGGAGGTTCGCGTTGTTTTGCTCTTCGGTTTCTCAGATTGTTCAATTCTTCCAGCTCTCAATCGTTTTCCCAACCATTCTGTGGGCTTGGGTCCTCGTTTTGAAGAGGCAGCGCCCCGCGTTCCTCCTCCCGCTGCCCCTTCCTCCTCCCCCCCTCCCGCCTCTCATCCCTGCCTCTGCCTCCCGCACCAGTCAATCATGCCGGCACACCCCTCACAAGTTTCGCGGCCCCACAGGGAGCTGATCCGAAGGCCCCAGTGGCAGCGCCCGCATGCAGTTCCACCCTCATTTCGGTGAACCTTTCACACGTTTCGTGGCTCCACCCAAAGCCCCAGTGGCCGCGCCCGCATGCAGTTCTACGACCGTTTCGGCACACCCCTCACACGTTTCGTGGTCCCACGCTTCATGGCCCCGTAGGGAGCTCCACCCAAGGCCCCAGTGGCAGCGCCCGCGTGCGGTACCACCCTGAATTTCGGCGAACCCCTCACGTTCCGTGGCTCCATAGGGAGCTCAACCTAAGGCCCCAATGGCAGTGTTTGCATGCAGTTCAATCTTTATTTCGGCACAGCTCTTTGCACGCTTCGTGTGCCCAATGTAGGGAGCTCCACCGAATACCCCCGTGGCAGCGCCCGCATGCGGTTCTACCCGCCATTTCGGTGCACGCTTCACACTGTTCGTGGCCCCGTAGGGAGTACCACCGAAGGCCCCATTGGCAGCACGCGCATGCGGTACCCCTTCCATGTCGGTGCACCTTCACGTTTAATGGTCCAGTAGGGAGCTCCACCGAAGATCCCAGCGGCAGCGCCCGCATGCAGTTCCACCTTCCATTTCGGCACACCCTTACACGCTTCGTGCCCCATAGAGAGCTCCACCCAAGGCCCCGGTGGCAGCGCCAGCATGTAGTTCCACCCTCCATTTCGGCGAGTCCCTCGCACGTTTCGTGACCTCATCGGGAGTTCCACCGAAGGCCCCAGTGGCAGCGCCCGCATGCGGTACCACCTTCCATTCCCGCGAATCCTTCACACGTGTCGTGGCCCCATAGGGAGCTCCACAGTAGCAGCGCCCGCATGGTGGCCCCGCCATATTTCGGCACGCCCTTTACGCGCTTCGTGACCTCATGAGGAGATCCACTGACGGCGATACTCACAACGACTGT